CAATGTCCTCTGACTAGAAAGCTCACCTTGGTCATGAAAACATGGCTATTGATTCCATTGGAGGAACCCTATGCCCTGGCTGTTGACTTTAGGAAGCCCTCCACCTAGTGATGCTATGTCATCACTGCCCCAGATATACTGCCAGTAGTTCAGCCCCATGGGCAGATTTAGGTTACAGCAGGTTGAAACTTGTAGTTACTTCCTGCATACATGTCAGAGATGATGAGCTAAGTTTTTTTTTTTTCTTTCTTTTTGACAGTGAGAATTGGTGTTATTGGCAGTAGCCTATAATTAACACTTTCACTGTTGGCCCATTTTGGGAAAATAGGAAATTGCCATTTACTGGAAATAAATGACTATAATGACATTGATAGGGATTTCTTATGGGTGTTGCCATTTTGGTTTTGATTGGATAGTCTGCAGTAAAGTTAAATGCCACTCCCCCCCCACACAATATAATAAAAAGTGTCATGAAACAGGTTGTTACTCTATCTTTTCTGGTTTGGAAATAGCACTAGTCAGATTATAACACAAATGCTAAAGATTAACAGTGTCTTAAAAATGTATATATACATCATCAGCAGGCAGTTTAAGTTGCATAAAGGTCCATAAGTATGTCCATAGCAGTGGCAGTGACAATGCCAGATTTTATTATAAATCTATAATTGGGTTTTTCTTTTAATTTTTATAATTTATTATGGTAGGCATTAAGAAATTAATTAATCCAGTCAACTTACTCAATGTTTCCTGTGTCTCACATGACATTTCACAAACTGAACCAAAAAAATAAAGACTTTTCATGCTTTAAGTTCCTTAGCCTTCTGGTTGGCACCTTATTTGTATATCTGTGCATATAAATTTAGTTTTTGATTTAATGATTTCATATATCATTTTATTGACTGAAGAAATTACATCTTTTTTTTTTTGTGAATGGACAATATGGGAGAATTGTTAGCCAAAGTATTCACTTTCTTTTCATTAAATATCATTATATATCAGTTATGAGACATTTTATCAAAATGTCTGCCAATAGAACAAAGCACAGAGAGAAATGGATTCATTCCTTTTTTAAAAGGAGTTTATTTGTATAAAGAGAACAAAACCAGTTTCAACTGAAATTTGGATTCAATTCTTGAAAAATTTTAATTTTCATGCTGGTAGCTCTTATGTTACTCTAACACTGTTACTCACTAAAAATACAATTATTGTATTTCTTGGCACTGAAAATGCTATTCCTCACCCCAAAGTGAATTTTCAAATTTTCTGTGTCTAAAAGTTACTTTAATTATTTTTTGTTTTAAAATTGAGGGGTAGTTTGTTTCTTAAAGCCTTAACACAATGATATATGGTACATTTCCTACTAATATTTAAAATGTTTTTTCTGTTTTAGTACATATACTCTACTTTGTTTTTCAAGAAGAGTTTTGGTAAACAAACTTTGTGTTGTAGTAGTCTGAGTGTCCTCCTATGCAGCAGAACACATTAGTTAATGTTTAACTCAAGTTTTAATGATATAGGATTTTTTCATTGAAGATTCCTTTTTATATTTTTATGGGGCCAATGTGCCAGTCTTACACTCAAACTTCCACATTTATCAACTGAGCTATGGTGACTACCAAACAGGTATTTTTCATTAGATTTTCTCTTAAGTGGACAGTTTTACAGGGCTAAAGGGTCTCAGCTGACCTGCTATGTGCCTATAACTTGGAGAAGTTGATTCATGCCCATTTAAAAATGGCACTTGTGCAAAGTGAACATAAACAGTGAAAGTTGGTTCATTGGTTTCATTTTTCATGCCTCTCCACCTCTGCATGATAGCTACTCAGAATGAGAAATCAGAGAGCCAAGTTTCAATTCTGGTCAGGTTCATTACATTCACTTCCACTCAAATATCCTTGGGAAAGGTATGTATCCATCTTTGCAGCTATGGCTTAAGTAGTAGGACTTGTTTCTAGAAAAGTCTTTGTTATTCTAAAAAAAAAGTTAATGAAATATTCACTCACACAAAAAAGAAAAAAAATATCTTTTCAGTTTTAAATCAACCACAAAGGGTTGATGTTTCTTAAAAAAACATATCATTCAATCAGTCAATTAATCCCTTCTGTACCTCGGTGTTAAAAATAGATTAGTGGGTGTTTTGTGTATATTTGTATTTAAACTTGTTTATTCACCAGACATTTTTAATTTCCTTTTAATTTAGATGTTTCCTTATTTTTTCTTTTACACTAATTTTTTTTTTTTTTAAATGGATAAATAGTAAAGAAAAAGCATCTCTGAAAATGTGTTGATGAGTTTCACACCAATTAGAATTTACAAATTGGTGAGGACTACAAATAAATGTATAAAAAATGCTCACATGAGTGGGTCTCTGCTGTTGGGGTGGGGATACAGAATAAAAAAATATATTCTCTGATGACACAAATGTAATCTTACCTGTTGTAATGATTGTTGCTAGAAAGCTGTCACATCAAGGTGTTTTTTTTGGCCCAGCAGAATAAAATACATCTTAGCCTGAGAGAAAATTTAATCAGCTTTTTCAATCTTTGAGATAAACTTGCTTCATTTTTCTTTTTACCTTCAAGTTTCAACTGTTCAGTAATCATTACATAGGAAACTTCTCATTAGGATAACTTTGGACAGGCACTAACCAGCTGATAAGATTAAGCAAAGGATATAAAAATTGGAATAGTTCACATTCATTGCTATAAACAAATACCATTCCTCCTTCCTGGCAGTAAATGTGAGACAATTTTCTCAGATGAAGAGGAGACTTGAAACAACAGATCTGGTTCCATAGAAAGTCGGGACATGTGAGTGACAAGAAAATTTTAACAAAAATGGAAACAAAAAAAGATGCTTATATCTACAATTTGAAAGGAACAGTTAAAATTTCCATGACATAATGAGTAAAGAAAGCTTGGAAATTCTGACACTTTTGCAAGGACATATTGAAGACAAGATGGACAGAGGGAAATAACAATTAACCTACCTAACGGGGGTTCATATAAATGAATGGCAGAAGAGGAAGTAGGTGGTTATTAAAAATGCAAACATTGCTAGGAACCACAAGAAGTTGTAGAGAGCCATGATTTTACATTAGAAAAAAAAATATACCCAGAACATTAATAAGTGGATAATTTTTTTTATTCATTTTAAATAAAGTCTTTCAGACTGACTGATTCTGATACCAATGTGTGTTTAATAACATTATCTGTTATTAGGACAAATGGTTTTGCCTGTATCTGAAAGACAAAATACTTATGAATTGACACAGACTGGAACAGATGGTAATAATTAATAAATTGGAATTGGGGTATGGTGACAGAAATTTCTATTATGGCTGTTAATATTACTTGGAAAAGTCATGAATCTAAACCTTTCTGCATCCTACTCTGTTGACAGTTATTACTGTCATACCACATTGAGACATGAAACCAGAATGCTTGAGACTGTCCATTTTACCCTAATTGCTAGTATGTTGCTGCCATATACATTATCTATTATGACAGATAAAGGACTTTCTTAAAACTAACATCATACTGATTAAAATCTCAGTTGAAAAATATTTTTCTAATTAGAGGATATTCTTTTATGAAACAATCCTCTAAAAATCAACACATAACTGCATTATGTGCAACAGATTTAAAACCTTCCTTTTTGTAATTCTTGAATATTAGAATATTTGATATTTTATAAAATGGTGACTCCTTTCAAAATAATCTTTAAACAAAGGTTGATGTAAATATTAGCTGATGATAGGAAAGAACTCACTCATTTTAGTGTTCTGGTTAAAAAAAAAAAGCAATTTCTTTAATTTGTAAATACTCCAATTAGATAAGATTTTTATATTTTGTCAAAACTAGATCTAAAGAAGACAACTCTAGTTATATTATACAAAGGTGACATGCAAGCCGAGTTCTTGAGAATGATTAGTATTTTGCAGGTACCAAAGATTATTAATACTGAAAACAGTTAATGACTTATCATGCATATTACCTGTTCATCATAAGAAGTAGTTTCTGACCTTGTATCCATAATGGCTCTTTTTAGGTATCTTTTTAGGTTATCATTATGTTTTCTTATTGCCAGAGTCTCTCACTTTTGCTGAATAGTGCTTTGATTAGGCACATTTTTCCACCTAGATTATGTGTAAACTTAGTAGTCTGAGGCAAAAGTGTATTTCCCTGCTTCAGTTGGAGGATTTAAAAGCTGAAGTGCAAATTAAGATCTTTGGGGATTTTCTCAAATTCTTGTCTTTCATAGTTTTTCAAGCTTATATTGTAAAAATGAAAGATAATAACTAAACAAAATATTGAGAAACAGGAAAATAATGTAAGAAATAAAAAAAAGAGTGGAGCTGCTATGTAACATTGATCCTCCTGTATGGCAGTAAATACTGGACATTTTATTCACAGATGGAGACTGGAGGTAACACAGATGTGGTTCTAAAGAAGTATGCTGATAATACTATGGTCAGAGCATGTAAGCCATGAGGAAACTTTAAGGAAAATGAAAACAAAAAGAACACTTATATTTTAAATCAGAAAGAAACAATTGAAATTTCTGAAACACGAGGGAAGAGGGTTTGATGGTAGAACAAAGGATAGTAAAATGACAAACATTTCTTAGTTCTGTGAAGGAGAGCAATGAGAGATTGTGTCACTAAAGGAATGACATACAAGAAGAAGAATTGAACTCTTTCTGCTTTCTCTGGAGATTTATATGAGACAACAAAAGAATGATTGGGGATTGAGATATATGAAATAACTTTCACAACTGAAGGTCCTTGTATTGAGTGGTTCTTGTTTGAATGGTTTGAAACCAAATTCTATATTTCATAAAGGTTTGGTTCAAAATTCCAAGAAGGTAAATATGTCAATTCCAAGTTAATATGTGCAACAAAGTCTTTTAAAATCAATGCACCTGCTTTGCTTTCAAATAATAAAAGTGGATAAAAATCCTCTTCAGTATTGTAGTTTTCAAGTCGGTGTATCAATAACATGGCAGCAGTGATATTGATAACAGGTAACCACCATTATGTTATATAAAGATTTCATAAGTGCTCTGCTTTAAATGAGATTTTTAATACTCATCATAAAAATAGGAATTTTTGTTAACAGTGCTGTTTCACATTCAATATAGGTGTCTGTCTCTCTCTCTCACTCTCTCTGTGTCTGTCTCTCTCTCCCCCACTCTCTCTGTGTCTGTCTGTCTCTCTCCCATTCTCTCTGTGGTTGTCTCTCTCTCCCACTCTCTCTGTGTCTGTCTCTCTCTCTCCCATTCTCTCTGTGGTTGTCTCTCTCTTCTATTCTCTCTGTGGTTGTGTCTCTCTCTTCCATTCTATCTTTGGTTGTCTCTCTCTTCCATTCTATCTTTGGTTGTCTCTCTCTTCCATTCTATCTTTGGTTGTCTCTCTCTTCCATTCTATCTTTGGTTGTCTCTCTCTTCCATTCTATCTTTGGTTTCTCTCTCTTCCATTCTATCTTTGGTTGTCTCTCTCTTCCATTCTATCTTTGGTTGTCTCTCTCTTCCATTCTATCTTTGGTTGTCTCTCTCTTCCATTCTATCTTTGGTTGTCTCTCTCTTCCATTCTATCTTTGGTTGTCTCTCTCTTCCATTCTATCTTTGGTTGTCTCTCTCTTCCATTCTATCTTTGGTTGTCTCTCTCTTCCATTCTATCTTTGGTTGTCTCTCTCTTCCATTCTATCTTTGGTTGTCTCTCTCTTCCATTCTATCTTTGGTTGTCTCTCTCTTCCATTCTATCTTTGGTTGTCTCCCACTGCTGCTGTGGTTGTCTCTCTGTCTCTCTCTCTCTCTCCCCCATTGCCACTATGGCTCTCTCTCTCTCTCTCCCATTACCACTATGGCTTTCTCTCTCTCTCTCTCTCTCTCTCCCACTGCCTCTGTCTCTCCTCCACTTTTCTTCCACTTGTCTCTCCCCTGTTTCATTCTGTGGCTGTCTCTTGTCCCCTGTCTGTCTCTGTCTCTCTCTCTTTAGTAATGTCTATCACTGTGCCTGTCTCTCCTCAGACTTTTTCCTCAATTCTCTGTTTCTTATTTTTCTATCTGCTTTTCACCTTTCTTTCCTTTTTATTTTGTTTTCTCCATCTCTTTCTCTTTTTGCTTCTCTCATATTTTGTTTTTCTTTCCTTTTCTCTCCCTCACTCATTTTCTTTCTTTTTCTTGCCTGCATTGCCTACCTACCTACCTACCTACCGAAATCTATTAACTCATCTTCCCTATTTCTCTTTCCTCTGTGTCCCAACAACAATTATCTTTAGGAAACTTCCTGCTATTTACCCTAACTCTACCCTTCATAGCAGCAATCCAATGAATGACAGTATGAGTTCATCAGTGTAAAGCAAAATTCAGATGTACACCTTAAAATATCTCAAATCCACTCATGTATTATTTTTCATCCATGATGATCAAGGTTCTTTTATCTTCTTTCAATTGATGAGCCTGCCTTCTGGGAAGAGAAAGAAAGAGGGAAATTTTTTTGCAAATAAGAAACTTTCGCTAGATTATGGCACTGCAATTTATACTCTGTGTTGTCAAATTTCCATCTGTTCACTGATTTACTGCTATCATTATGCATTTTCCTTTGTGTACATATCTCTGTGTGTTCATGTGACTTTTCTATATGTTCTTGCATGGATATTTTTGTATGACCATCCAGTGTATTCAAACAGCACAAAAACTACATTTTAAACAGTCAAAAATGAAAAGAAATTAATAACACCTTAAGACCCCCCCCCCCCGCCTTGAAAATGGCTAAAGAATTGGCTGAAAGCTCTTGGGACAAGGGACAATACAAACAATTTTTGCACTCCTTTACTCACAACAAACAGAAAAATATAAGAATGTTGGAAAAACTAAATAAAAATTCATCAAATTTTCCTTGTCTGTCATATTCAACAGAACATATTTAGAAGAAAGGTTGCTGCCCAAATATACATTATTAAAATATACATATATGTGCAGGTTTGTCAATAAGTCTGTATTCTCAAGATGAAGAGGTTGGGGAAGAAATATTTTACACAACAAATATTTATTAACATAATCTCTTCCTGTTTATTTCTCCATAGATCATATAGATCAAACATTATGTAATGATCATTTTAGATCAAATTATAGCTTGTAACTGATTTATTGATCCACCCTGTGTACATATACTAATCAGTGTGTGTAAATTAAAATGATGCTGTAACTGCACACACACGTATACATATGCACATATAATTTTAACAAGGGCTTGATACTGCAGAACATAAATAAAGTTTTAAAAATACACAAAGGCATTTTTTTTAAATTTGAGGAATCCTTTCAGCCAACATTCCGTCGGAAGGAAAACATTGGTGTAATTAATGACGAAAACAAAGACATGAGAAATTCACACAGCAAAAAAGGGTGAGAAAGGAAAATTATGGAACATGATTAAAATATATTTATTGGTAAAATAATTTATGAATAAAAAAATAAATAGTTCCAAGTGAGTATAAAATAGAAAAATAGTACTCACGAACCTCTTTAAAGATTGAGGTAGTGTATAAAATGTTCCTTTTGTTTGCACAAAGTTGATGTAACTTAATGTTAACTGCTTCAAGAAGATGAATGGACTGAATTGATATTCTCAAGCCAGTATAAACTACAAAAATTGTGGTACAAAAGACTCTTTAATAGTAGGCAGGACAAGTGGGGAATATATTTGCTTTCAAAGACACTTCTTTTTTTTAGAATTATTTTCTGGTTAGTGAAGAACACATAAACTCCAGGAATAAATTTCAGAAGAGATACAAAGACTCCTTAAAACAGACAATCATCTCTTGTAGAACCAACTATTGTTAGTGGATAACAGCAGAGTAGGAACAGAAAAGAAAGAGGCAGTACTGCATAAAGGCTCCCTACAACCAATGTGGAAAAGTTAGTCTTGCTAACCACATGACTGACTACAACAGATGTAAAAAACGCTCTGAAATATTTGAAGAAAATAAAAAAACATTCAAATTCTGAAATGGAAAAAAATATAACTAAAACATAATCATAAACTCTACTCCAAGAAATAAAAGCTATTATTCTTTCTTAGGAAAAAATATAATGTGTAATAATAAAGTTATAAATTGGGAATAATATAATGACTTATTCTATGGAGAGGAGTGCTGAAAAGTTCTTGATCCAACTAAGAAAGTATAGAAAAAAAAATTGGAATATTTTTTTCTTTTGTTCAGATCTTGGTAAGGAGGCCAGGCTGATAACTTTTTTAGAATCCCCTCCTCCCACATAATAATATTTACTATGATAAAGAAAGGATATAAGTCATTATATTATGGGGTGTGATCAAAGTGATACCTATAATTTTGGGTGTGATTCTCTCATATATTTTTCTTAGTAAGTAATTCAATTTTTATAAAACTGTTTAGTTCTGGAAACAAAGTTGATACTTTTAGTGAAATGAATCCTCATGTTTCAGTGAAGTCCTTGTACACAAATATTAGGCGTGTCCAGATAGGATCCAACCAATTAATATTGGTGAAAAGGAAAAATAGTCTAATTAGAACAATTGTACTTGAGTCAACTTAAAAAAAACAAATACTACTTAGGACTGCTCACATTTATCCCAGCATTTTTTCTACTTTCAAAACAATATGAAAAGTACTTTTTGAGATTTTGCCATTAGGTAGCTCCATGTTCTTCATGTTTTTCTTAATCTTAACCTTGTCCATAGCCTAAATGGAGGTCCAATAGTAACTTTAGGAAAAAGACAGACATTGCAGGAAGCTACATATGATTTGTTTTAAGAACTGATGTCCATTAATGACGGGATGCTCTGTCAATAACTCTTTATAAGAATATGAAAATATTATTGAAAAGCTCACTCAGTAGCATCTGATTGCTGACTGTGTAAGTCCATAGGAGAGTATCTATACATGCACATGCAATAAGGAATTCCTTTAAATGGTTGTCAACTTACATCAAAACCAAAGATAATTGAAATGGCTGTTTACTTTCCGGATAGATTTTTAATAAACATTAATTCTTGATGCATTGAAGATTTATTACTTGTGGTTATAAATATTGAAGATATCCAACTTAAGAAAACCTTGTTTGCTACTGATGAGAGAGTGCCAAAACTTTCTCAACTTGGTTACCTTCTCAAAATCAGTTTTCTGATGATTTAAGTTATTGAAAGACTGACTTTAAGAAGTGTGTTAGTATGAGAACTTCTGAACAAACCCTGTACAAGATGTGCTGGCATATTAATTGAGGTTTTCTAGATGATCGATTATATAGGGTAATTGAAAGTGAAGTATTTTTATTGCCTTGCATGAAAAGTGTAATTAAGATGTTAATTGATGAGATACTTTACTAAATATTAAAAAAGCAAAAGTGATCAGATGTGTGAAATTATGCCAATTACAAGTTCTTTTCTTAATATTTGCTATAGATATGTTTTAACTATTTTACTATTGGCATTGATATCAGTGAATGTCTCAGAAAGCCTGGCTCTTACTCACCAAAGCTTATTTTAAAATGGATATAGCAATACAATTGCATCTGATGAATTATAAACCTGACAATAATCCAAAGGAATAAGGTTGAAAATTGGTGAGAAATAGTCAAGAAGAGGATTAAAATCATTTGATGATTTAAATAATTGATTGTATTGAAATAACATCTCAATAATGTTGATAAATAAATATTTTTTATTTTAAAACTTATTAACTGTTGTTCAGTTTAACTATATATATATATATATATATATATATATATATATATATATATATATGTTATTTTTTATATCAAGCACTTTTTGTATTACCACCAGCATTCAGTGTGTGCATATTTGTATATTATTGCATTCTGTCTCAACACTGTCTTCAGCCTTTCGTATGCCAATGCCACTTCATAGATGGTAACAACAAAATACAGTTACTTTTTCTTTTTTGTTTTATTAGCAGTATATACAATATGTGTGTCTATAGTTTAAAATTTGCTAAATTTATGAGGTATAGTACTTACCAAGGATAGTGTTTATCAATGTCGATAGAAAAGAAAAATATACAAAATAAATAAAGAAGTGAGTAAAACAATAATAAATCAATAATATATATATATATATATATATATATATATATATATATATATATATATATATATATTAGTTTGAATAAAAAAGACAGACCACGTTAAGATTCCATGTAATAAGCTATTTCACCATAACCCCTTTAACAGGGTTCTGGATCATCAGATTTTACTTCCAAAAGCTGAAATGAAAAGTGAAAAGAAATTCACACGTTTTTTACGGACCTCATCAAGTCTACGTAAAGTTAACGAAGTGAGGGAGTGAGGTGGGAGAGAGGATATGAGTGTGCCATATGTATCATTTTAGTTTCCTATTTTAACCCCAGTGTGTCGGCTAGATGTTGCTCAAATTTAACGCGCCTCTTCTCTAGATATAGATGGCTAAGGGGTGAATGATAAGAACGACATTAAAGGAAGAATTTACAACAACCCCAATAAATTACACAACAGGTTTCATTCAAATTCTTAGACGCTGTCAGTTCGTGTTACTTTAACGTGCATATTTGGGAGGTTAAGGTTTGATAAATATCTAAATGTTAAAACAATCTACGAAGAAATTAATTTGAAATTCGGTGGAGTTTTGGGTATTTTCTATGAAACAATCGATTGGAAAAATCCATAGATAGAACATTGAAAGAGCAATCCATTTTATATTTAGTAATTTTTTTTTTTTTTTCCTAAAACTTTTATCTTATAGCTTGTTAGGTTGACATCTATTCGTTTGATTTTTGTTCATTAAGTAAACTCGTGATTGTTTTTATGTACCCAATTATCAACTGTTATTCCCATTTAAATAATTTTATTCTCCACACTGGGGTAGTGTCTTTCGATCTCAATTAAAATACCAATCTAAACTTTCCCTTCGTGTTATTTAAAATTCACTTCCAATTGGAGAATATTAGAGGAGATATTTGGAAGAGATGTCACTAGCAGAAAATTAGGTCCTTCTTTTACAATTTTTTATCTACACATGTCTTAAACCTCTATTTGTAACCACATATCTATATCTTCTTATATGTCTATGAGTTCCTATATACACCTACATACACATTCACATGAAACAACCATCTGTAAATTTCAATCTTTATATATATACACCTGCAGAGAAAACGCACATCCACGTCTCCATACCCATCTCCATATATACTTATACTTACATATATACATATACTCATAAGAACATCTGCATACCTATATA